TATCTTCAAGCTGATTACACTGCCTGTCAAAAGTGCCTTCTCAGTTTTTCCAAGCCTGAATATGCTTAAAACCTTCCTGATTGCAGCAGGCTTGTCAAGCTTTTCCCTAGTTTACAGAGAGGCAAGGTATTTTGTTCTGTAGAAATTTTATACCCTACAGGTGATTCACTTGAGTGATAAACAGAAAATTTTGGAACCTCCCCACCACACACACACGCACACACACAGACACACACAGACATACACAGACACAGGTATTAGGGACTTAATCTGACACAATCTCTGCACTTTGCTTCATTAAAATTTAAATTTTGATATTTTCATAACATTGATGTACTGTTTATTCTTCCCATTACAAACCTTAAGACTTCAGGACAAAAAACCCCCAAAAAAAACCTCAAAAAAGCTGCAATTTCTAAGAATGCAAGTTTCTATTAAACACAAGGGCCAAAATTGTTAACCTCAACCAGTGGGAAAGAGAAACAACTCCAGGGATTTCACTGGGAAGGTGGGGGAGAGGTTGTCATTGTACATAAATCCTCCTACACCCATACCAAATACAAATCCCCATATGCCAGTGCCCATTTCCCAGCCGACCATTACAACGGGCCTGATGCTGCTCAGCAAGAGCTGTGACCTGTGAAAAGAAATGTCCTTCCTTCTTTTTTTGTAGAGACAGGTAATTAAGTTTGTTCAAAGCTGCAAAGGTCGTGAGATTCTGGCTTCGGTTCCCCAAACACTTACGCATATGCCTCGTTTCCTCTGTCTCCGACAGATTCGAAGGAAGATTAAGTTAGGAAGGCACAACTCTTGGCTTGCCAGGGGAAGCAGGCAGGGGCGCAGCTTTGTGTAACTCGCGAAATGGCACAGACCAGCAATGTTAGCATCTTGCTCCGCCGTTACATGGGCTGGAACTTGTTTAAAACCCCCTCACAACCCATCGTCTGCAGACACCGCGGAGCGCAGGGAGCATGTGCGCCCCTGCTCTGCATCCCGACCGCCACTCCCGGCCCCGCATTTCCAGCTCGACCCCGCATCCCGTGCCCGACCTCCGCATCCCGAACCCGAGCCCCGCCCCATCCCCTCGCGCATCCCCTGGAGCTGCTGCCCCGC